GGCATTTTGTTGCTGCACAGGCAATATGCTGAATGACCAAGAACATGAGCTCTGGAGTCAAATAGACCCTGATTCAAACCCCAGCTCCCTGGCTTACTACTTATGGAACCTTATGTGAGCCTCCCATGAGTGATACTGCATACCCCCTGAATTAATCCATATAAAGCACTACGTTCAGGAAGCTATTATTTGAGCAGGGAATGAAAACTTGAAAATACTGTGTCTCATCATAGATGTTTCTAGGTTATGACAGTGTCTAGAGATATAGCCCTATTCTGCTGTAGAGTAAGTATTAACTAAAGAGCATGGAGCTGAGAGCAAACATTGACTATAAATGAGGTAGATAATTTTATTCAACAGAAACTTTAAAAAAAATTTTCACAGTAAGAGAACTAAAGTTTTCAGTGGGCTTTGTGAAATTTGCTCCACAAATAAAGAGGAAGCATCCAGGGTCATAGAGCTACTGGGCCTTTAACCCATTGTAGAGTTGCCCATATTACAGAGAGGAAGGGTGATGTGACTTACAGCTGAGAGTTGGGGTAACATGGCATGTGAAGGGGAAGGAGGAAATTATAAGGAGAGGTCAGCAAGAACGCGATAAGGTGGGAAATCTATTTTTCCAGTTTTATTGAGATGTAATTGACATATGTCACTGTAGAAATTTAAGGTGTACAGCATAATGATTTGACTTACGTATATTATGAAATGATTATCACAATAAGTTCAGTTAGCACTCATCATCATGTAGATACATATAATGAAAAGAAAATTTTAAAAAAGAAAAATTATTTTCCTTGTAATGAGAACTCTGAGGATTTACTCTGTTAACTACTTTAATATGTACCATACAGCAGTGTTAACTATAGCCATTGTGTTGTACATTATATCCTTAGTACTTTTTATCTTACAACTGGAAATGTATACCTTTTGACCACCTTCCTCCAATTCCTCCTCTCTCCACTCCTGCCTGTCATAACCACAAAGCTAATATCTTTTTTAGTTTGTTTTAACAGCTGCTAAAGTGTGGAACTTGGAGGGCAGAAAATTGTGTCCCAAGAAGATTTCTGGGATGTTTCTTTGTGGTCATGATAAAAAAAATTCCTGAGTAATCCTGCTTTAAGGAAACCTACACTAAAGGTCTATATTATGTTTCAAGGTTTCAAACATCAGATTTGTGTTTCCTTTGAGTGATGTCATTCTTATACTGAGACACATGGGGACACTACATTTGTTAGGGTCCCACTGAGCGGGCTTCTTTTTCTTCATTTATTCAGTTTTTTAGGTCTCATTTATTGCTATTCCCCACCAATTACTAGATTCTTTATTCATTGTAGCAGCATGTGATTCATATCTCAAGATATAGTGCAGTTAATAATATATCATCTTATCTTACATTACTTACATATTTCATTACATTATCTCTTCTCTTACATATTAAATAATTGGTTTCATAAAATTTGGGAGTTATTTTCATTTCCTTCACAGAGTGCTGTACTTTGAAATCGTGTCTTTAAGCTGGTTACTTCTGGGAAGACTTCCTATATATGGCTAATTCTCTTGCCCATAAATTATTTGTATCCAGAAACTGCCTCTGTCATCAGGCCACATTCTGACTCAATTTTTCAGGAAATCCAGTCATTTTGTAAACTTTTCAGAAAGTTGAAGAATGAGGACATGTAAGCTATATAGATTTGAGTTCCTAACTTATCTTTAATTATTTTCAAATATGACCTTACAGTGAACCAAATTTGGTAGTCTTCGTTTTTTTATGCAGTCAATTTTTGGTAGCTTTTTCCAAAATATGGATAAAAATTGATAGACTAAGTCATTGTACTCCGTATTCACCTATTAGAATCAAAAGGAAATGATACTTTGGATACTTTAGTTTTCATACAAAAGAGAAAACAGAAAGTTCTGATCGGAATTTACAGGGTAGGGCAAAAGTAGGTTTATAGTTGTGAGTATACAAAACAGAGTTTATTCTTGTATCATTATTTACTAATTATTATATTATTTTCCATATGAACAACTGTAAACCTACTTTTGCCCCACCCTGTATGTAAAACTAGTTTAGGCTTGCATCAGAGGAGAGCACTGTAGCTCAGACTTTCTCCTCACAATTTGTTTAGGTCACTGCTGGAAGCATTCCTCCAAAAGGGAGCACTTCACTTAATTAGATAGCAAATACCACCAAGAACTTTTCCTGAGCTATGTTTCAAAAGAGGTGGACTGCTTAGGAGAGTTGAGGGGGGAACATCAGAGCCCAGACTATCAGCAGAAATGCCCTGTAAACACAGTGATCTAAGACCTAGGAACTCCTGCCCTAACCGGTTTGGCTAAGTGGATAGAGCGTCAGCCTGCAGACTCAAGGGTCCCAGGTTCGGTTCTGGTCGAGGGTATGTACCTTGGTTGTGGGCACATCCCCAGTGGGGAGTGTGCAGGAGGCAGCTGATGTTTCTCTCTCATCGATGTTTCTGGCTCTCTATCCCTCTCCCTTCCTCTCTGTAAAAAAACAATAAAATATATTTTTTTAAAAAGACCTAGGAACTCCCAAGACAGACCTGGTGTCTATTTTTTCTCTCCTGCATCCTCACTAGCCTGTTCATTTGAACAGACTGACCTGAGTTTTGAATCAGAAGATGTGGTCACCATATTTACAGAGGAAGGAATCAGGAATGTAGATTACCCTTTAGAGAAGGTCCATAAGAAAGTGGAGGCTAGAGGTGATTTGGAGTTTAAGGGACAAGGGAAGTTTATTGGTTTCTTTTTAAGAATAAGGGAAATGGAACATTTGTGTGGGCAAATGAGAGTCAGTGGAAAGAAAGGGACTGGAGGTGGAGATAACCACTGAGGCAAGTTCAATAGACTTTATCACAAACTGAGGTGGGCCTTGTTGAGTTATTTAGGGAAAAATAAATAAACTTATGTCACGTTCGAAGCTGCCTTGAGGTCCTGGCTACAGTATGGTAACACAGTTCAGCAAGGGTCCCATCCTAAGGGATTATCATTGACATTTATCATCATTTAGCCTCCCAGAAGCCAAGTATAGTTGGCTGAGTTTGCCCAGGATTGAGGTTTGGGAAGTGCATTTGATGGAAAGTCAAGGTGACCTGTGAGGGAATCCTGGGAGTTGGTGGGTGCCATGTTAAAATGCTGACCATGAAACCAGACCAAGGCCAAGCAGCTGAAAGTCGGCTGAGGCAGCAAAAGTTTAGTAGAAAAGGTGGAAGGGAAATGGAGGTCAGTTCAGGGGTGATGACTTCAGAACTCAGCAATACAGAGACAGAGCACTTTGGAGTGATGATCCAAAGTTTCCTGCAATAGAGATAAAAGAATCAAGGATATTGAAGTCTGGATGTTGAAGAAGTGTTTTTTAATTGAATTTATTGGAGTTACATTGGTTAATAAAATTACATAGGTTTCAGGTGTACAATTCTATAACAAATTATCTGTATATTGTATTGTATGTTCACCACCCCAAGTCAAGTCTTCTTCCATCACCATGTACCCTCCCCTTAACCTCTTCTACTTCCCCACACCCCTCTTTCCCTCTGGTAATTACCATACTGTTGTCTGTGTCTACAAGTTAATTTTTGTTTTTGCTTAATTCCTTCACCTTTACATTAGCTTTGCTGTTGTTTAGTGTCCAGGCCCGATGTCAGTCTGAGCCAACAAATACAGTGTCATCAGAAGACAGATGAGTTTTATTCTGTCAAAGGGTCAGTAAGGGTGTTTAAGAAATCAAGAATGTAAGAAAGATCTTGGGAAAACCAAACATGGTCCCCTCGTGAAGCACCATGAGAAGCGTGAAGGAGGGCTGGCCAGGGAGGGACTGCCAGGAAGGAAAAGATGTGAACTGGCAGAGAGCAAGAACAGTTTGGCCCTCAGGGCAGCATTTCCTGAAGTGGTTCCAGCCAGCACTAGTCACACAGGATGGCACAGTAAGTAGCATATAAAAGTATGGCTCTGGAGAAATACTCGGTTAAGCAATATAAATGGATTCCTTTACTGGCAGACCCCTTTGAAGCTCTAATGGTGTACCCATGTGCCCCATTTATTTCCAGGAATAGAATTTGTGACAAGAATATGTGACTTTTCCCCAACTTAGTGGCCACAAAACGGATCATACTTTTGGAAATTCTGTTCTAGGATTCAGATTTTTAGTTTTTTGAATGAATTGATGGATGATTGGTTAAGTAGATGAATAAATAAATGACATAGGGAGGAAATTAAGAGACAGATTGGAGGGGACGGGAGTGGTCAAAATAAAGTGAATTTGTGCTAAGGGAATAATATTGAGTCTACAAATGCATTAAATACTTTGATATAATGCCCCCCCCCCCCACTTCCTCTCCCATGCCATCTTCCATCTTCTTACTACCAGTTGTGGGGCAGGGAAGATTTATTTATTTAGATATGTGTCCTTTCTTCCTGTTCCTTTCTTACTTTGGTAGGTGGTCCATCCCCGCAAATCCCCAAATGGATTTTGGTGGAATCCGGGTTTTGAGGGTGAGATGTTTGCAGAGTAGACCATGAAGTTTTGAAACCTTGAGTACAGAGTCCCCAGTTCTCCTGCATGTTTACACATATGTGCACATACATGTACATGCCTCTTCCCCCACAGCCTTCTTTCATTTCATTTCAGTTGCTGTGTCCACACCCACCCTTATTTCTTTTCACTCTGATGGTTAGCACTGCAGGATGAAGAATCAAATGGTACATTTTCCCTGCTATTCTGCAAGTGTGATAGTGAACTGGTTAGGGAATGGTGTGCCAAATCAATTTTACTTCTGAAAATGGGAAACTACTCCTACCCCTAGCCCCAGGGAGGGGGACAGGGGAAGCAGCAGGGCAGATATCAGGTCTCTATAACAAGAAAGATAGTATAGAACTGCAGAAACTTTAAGAAACCTACATGACATTGAATGGCTCTCAAGTAGATATCGGTTGTAAGGAAAACCAACCTTGGTGTGACCATGACTTCTGTGGCTTTATTCCAGAACGCCAACCGGGCACCTCTGTGGCCAATTCCAGTGCCCTCCCTTCAAGTTCAGCTGGGATCAGCAAGGAGCTGATTGATCTGCAGCCCCTCATCCAGTTCCCCGAGGAAGTCGCCAGCATCCTGATGGAGCAGGAACAGAATATCTACCGAAGGGTCTTGCCGGTTGACTATCTTTGCTTCTTGACCCAGAACTTGAGCACTCCAGAATGTCAGAGGTCCCTGCCCTGCCTCAAAGCATCCATCTCAGCATCAATTCTTAACTCCCAGAACAGAGAGCACAATGCCCTTGAAGATCTTGTGATGAGATTTAATGAGGTAAGGAGCCACTTTCAGATGTTTTTGTAAGAATTGCTAGTAAGTGGTTTTTAAGCATTTCTCCTTCTTGGTTTGTCTGTTACTGACATCTCATCTACCTGTCTGTCTTGCCACTTCCACGATGACTGCTTTCTTTCCAGACACTGAGATAAACAACACATTGTCATCCTCCCTCTCACTTCATTCTATCTGACCGAAGCCTAAGTAATGCTATCTCCATCTCATATCATTACCAAGTCCACAAGCCTTCTCCCTTTGGGAAACCAATCCCCAACTTTCCTCCCCTCCCTTCCAAAATATTCTCCCTGTGCCCATTTTCAAATATTCTCCCCCTGGTTTCTTCATGTGCTTTCAATATTAGATGTTTCGATTTTGAGTTTGGTCAGCATGATCCCTGGCCACAGGATCCACTGTCAGGCCTCCTCAGCAGACACTAAACACCAACACCTGGGTCAGGAAAGTGGGGAGGAATGTGGTCTTGAGGGACAGTGAGTCACCCCCTCCTGTCCTCTGATCCCATCAACATCCCCAGCCCCTAGAAAGTCCCTCCAAGGCCTCTGAGACCTTACCAGCCAGTTCTGAGGAGGAAGCTGTAACCAGAGTCTGGGAACACTTGGGAGGGAGGCAGGTCTAGTGGCAACTAGGAGGAGGAGGGCCAACTGGCTGACATGCTGTGACCCTGGAGCAAGGACAAGGGATAGGAAGGAGGAGAGGCAGGTCTCCATGCAGGGCAAGGGTCAGGGATGCTGTGCTGTTGGGCTAAAAGAACACTTTTCCTCCATAGTATAACCACACACTCAAAGTTTTCTGTTCTACAGTTGCTGTCTTTTAGACTTTATTTCTTTTGCCTTGAAGATTAAACACAACTTTCAGTTTCAGTAGTTGTTGGTGGTTGGTTTAACTCCACAATTATAGTAGTAAATGCAAAAATTATACTCCCATTCTAGTCCTGTATATCTCTGATTGACAGTGGATCAATCCACCTTTGTTAGTTAAACACTTTCTAATGATAGCAGCTCACCTCGCAGTCTCCATAGCCTGCCAATCATGACCCAGATGATGGATGTAAATGTCAGTGACCATGGGGAGGCACAGTGGATGTAGACATGTTAAGGGCTCAGCTCAAGCAGTTAGTTCTGTGCCCAGATATGTTCCTCAATGGGAGATCCATGACCCTTGGGAATTGCTGATCTCCATCTAACACTGCCCTGCTAATCAGCTACATATACCATTGATTTGCTCCTCACAACCCTGGGAAGCAGATACTGTCATTAGCCCTACACTACCAGTGGGGAAACTGAGGCATGAGGAGATGAAATCATTTGCCCAAGGTTATATAGGTAGTAGGTGGCAATAGTGAGATTCAAACCCACGCTGCCAGGTCCCAGAGCCTGGGCTTTGAACCGCTGTGGTATTCTGCCTCCCACCTGTATCAAGACTCATATTGTGGAGTGGTGCCTGATAAAAATGCAGGTTCCTGGCCCCACCCCACATTGAGTAAAACAGACTCTTTGGGTGTCCGCATGAGAGCTTATAAATCACACTGCCCCAACGCTGTTTTTTAAAAATAAATCTCCTGATGATCTTGATTCTCCTTATCAATAAAGCTGGGTGGGAAATGAAAGTTCCAGTAAACTGTGTGATTTCATATGGGATTTTGCTGTATTTTGTGAATTATTTTAAACTTCCAGATCTAGTCACTCTCATATAATGTGGGACCTTGTCCTTATCCTTTGTTGTTGTTATTGTTTTAAATCCCACCTGAACTTAAAAGTGATTTGCCCAAACTTTTAAAATCTAATTTTAAATTAATTTTGGGGCCATAACCGGTTTGGCTCAGTGGATAGAGCGTTGGCCTGTAGACTGAAAGGTCCCAGGTTCGATTCCGGTCAAGGGCATATACCTTGGTTGCGGGCACATCTCCAGTAGGGAGTGTGCAGGAGGCAGCTGATCGTTGTTTCTCTCTCATCGATGTTTCTAACTCTCTATCTCTCTCCCTTCCTCTCTGTAAAAAAAATCAATAAAATATATTTTTAAAAGAAATTAATTTTGGAGAAAGAAAACTTGAATTTCTTCCATTCACTGCTATAACCTTAGGAATCCAAGATGAATCAGTGATATCATTAATTCAGAGTTAGTGATCATCGGAACCACAGCTGGGTTGAGGCACGCTTTGGACTATCTCTGAAAATAGTTTAGCTAAGCAACTTCAGAACATAAACAAGATTTCTGGGAAAACACTTAATCTACTTAAGAGAACAGTCTGTTTTCAAGTATTCTCAAGCATCTATTTTCATACAAATTATGGGCATGCAGATTAAAAATCAATCTTATACAGTCATTATAGGCAGATCCCAAATGACCTCTGCTAGGCAAACTGGGATAGCTAAATTCTTGTTTATATACCTTAGGGTGGAAAAGCTGCATTACATTAAAGGGGAATTCTTAAGTTCAGACTTTCACCTATTTAGAATGGTTTTGCCTCCAAATTAGCATGGTTTTACTTTCTGTAAAGAAGAGGAAGGAAAGGAACTAGCATTTATTTACTAGGTGATCTGGACTAGATATTTTCACATTTTTAAATCCCATTTAATCCTAAGGACAGTTTTGTAAGGCGGTTGTCATTGTCCCTAACTCACAGATAAAGAAAGTGAAGCTTAAACAACAAAATAAGTAATCATAGTATTGGGTTATGATCTATAGAATAAAATATTTATGAGTTCATACTGATATGAATAATTGAATAAATATATCAATGGGAGGGGGTAAGGTACAGCTCTTATTTTTAAAAGAATTTCAATTAATAAGTATAAAAGGAATGAGGGAAATAGGAAATCACCATTAGGAAACCCCAGTAATAAATTATTATAGGCAAGAACCATTGATGAATTCTAAAATTTTGGTGCAAAACTGTGATAAGGAACAAGATATTTGCATAGTTTAAAAGTATTTCTCCACACAAAACTGGATACACAAAATAACTGTACTTTCTTCAGGGAAGGAAGAGATGTATTTCTTGGAACACTGGAGAATCTGAAAGACAAGAGAGAGAATATTAGCTCCATTGCAGAGGTGTCTGTCACTTAGGGGAGAGGCCAGTGCACTCAGTTAACATACCGTCTGTACTTCTCAGAAGCAGGGCACCATGGTGGATAAGCACTAAGGAAAGTGAGTAACAGTCTGCAGCTGCCAGAAGCTACCAGTCTTAAATTGTAGTCAGGCACGGGCACAAACCACTACCAAAAAAAGCAGAAAGTACATGCAGTGTTAGTGGCACAGATGGTGGGAGCTGAAGTGTCTGGGTGGGAGATCAGAGCTCTTGCTGCTCAGCTCTGGAGTGTGGGGCTGGGCCTTAAGGGATAGCCGGGACAGAGGGGGAACATTGGGGAAGGGAGAACATTCCGGACAAGAAGACAACCAGTTCTTGTCATGAGCAAGACTCATGGTCTAGGGAGTCAGCTTGCTCCAGACTGTCAGTAGAACATGATCAAGAGCTACAAGTTTCCTGAATTTTAACAAATACTTACATGATGACTTAACTGTGGTGTGGAGAAAGGGAAGAAAATCCCTGTGCCTTTCGGGCAATGTTGCATAAAGTTTATTCTTAGGAAAATAAGGTTAAAAGTACAATGCAATTGAAAGTACAGTCGTGAAATAACTGAAAGGGTTTGGCTTACATTAAGGAAGTCCAGGAGATAAGTCATTTAAAATCAGTTTAGATCGTGGCTTGGAAGCATTGTTTGTCCCCATCCCCCTTCTCCCACCCAGTGTCGAGACTGCACACCAGAGTAACTTCTGAAAAGATCATCTTTTTCTCCTTGCAAGTACACTGAAGCACGCTCAAGGGGTCAGCCCTCAAGCGGTGGTAGTCAAGATTCGTGCTGGGGGTGGGCTCAGTTCTGCTTTGCTTGGTTGGGAGGCAGGTCTTCCTGAACCCTTTTGATCTGGACATATCTCTGTGGTTATAGTCTTGATCTAAAACTCCAAAAAGCCAGAGTTCTCTTTCTCCTTTCAGGTTGAAAAGCCTCCCTCCCCACGAAGACTCTTGCTTTGACACTCAAGTCATATTGTCCTTCTCTCCTCCCCCTGTTTCTTCCTCTCTCCAGCCTCTACCTCTAGCCCACATGCCTTTTGATCTTACTGATTTTTAACTTCTCTTATAATAATTCTCTTTTCTAAAGGAGACAAAGAGATTTTGTTGTTGTTGTTGTTGTTGTTGTTGTATATAATTTCACCAAAGAGATTGCATACTTTAGCACATGTGGTTGAGAAGAGATGAGAGGCAGATAGAGATTAAAGATCATCTTTACTCCCTTTCCCTTCCCATCTTTTTCTTGTGAAGGTCTGTGGTGGAACAAGGGGGAGAAGGATATGTTCCAGAATCACAGTCCTGAGTCACTAGTTCTCAAACAGTATGGCCTCTGCTTCTGTCCTCTTATTCATCCATTGATGACCTTTGTGGTTGGAACTCATCATGGTCTGCATCTACAGCTGGTCTGTCAACAGAACAAATGTTTTCTTCCACTGCCCACACTACTGCCAGACACTCTTTTGTGTAACAGATAATTGATTACTCTGGCTAAGGACTGGGTTTCAGGTTCAAGAGGCTATTAATGGTTCCACTTTTTCCTTTGCCCTACAAAAGCAGTTTTTGCTTGTTGGGTAGTTCTTAGCAAGACCATTTGTCTGGGCCCCTTTTTCAGACTAGTTAGTCCAAGGGCAGGTCTTGAGCCCAAGTTGGAGCCAAATTATGAGAACCCAGAAAACTCAAAGGGATTCCACCTGGCTTGTTGACTCTGCCCCTCACCCCTCTGCCCCATGATCTCTCAACCTCTTCCATTTGGTCAACCTAAGCAATCATCAACCTGCTTCTCTAGCCACACAAAGGTGGGCAGCCCAAAGTGACACTCAGTTGTGGCTTGTTCCTTCCATCTGCTCATTTTCACCAGATGTCAGTTCAACAGTTTAGAGGCCACTCCCTCTATAAAGAACTCCAAGGT